GACCACATGTGTACAGCATGTAAACCAAGTACCCAAACACCCACTAGCCAGTGGAAGGGTTCTACCAAGAGGAGAAAACTCTTAACAGTACAATCCACATGCAACTCAGCAGCCCCCCTATCTACTTCATGTAGAACACTGAGGAAGGACATATCCGTCACACCAGTGAGATAATGATTGGCCTCAACAAATACTGCCCTCATAAAGTTAGTTATGTATCCTTTACAGGACGTTGCAGATCAACCCCAGTTTTTTTTTTTTGGCTCTCGTTTTTTTTAAGGCAAATTTACGTTCAGTAGTTTGCTATCGGTCTCTGAACAATCAGCTGTCGGTTTGACAGTCGAAACCAAAGCAAGACAAATGGTCTGCAGCTAGGATCGAACCTGGCACAGCAGCATTTTGAAGCGCATTTGCAACATCTAAGCTACAGATGCCTACATACCTATTTGAATTGTTGATGATCACAATTTTCAAAAATCCAACATGTAACTCTTACATATAACCTAACCAGTAAGTTTTTATATGTATCATGAACACCTACAGTGTTCAATAATCCAACAAGCAGCACCCGTATGACACAGTTTCTTTGTGATAAATTAATTAAATGTAATGAAGCAATGTTATTAACACTGTACTCAACAACACACCTCATGTTCGTGAGTTAATCCAAAGGAAATACACTCTCATGACTTCTACTGCAGGTTGTTGTTAAATCAGCTCATTGTAACCAAATTGGCCAATGGGCCAGTGCACTTATATACCAACTGACACCGTAATTCAGACATCCAAACATAAGTATGAGCGCCAGGAAACAAATTATAAACAGCACATTCGTACCAACACTGTGCTACTAGTGGCAGACTTGGACATTATCAAAGGCTAACCTATCTTAAAATTAACAAATGTGAAATGAAATGCCTGAAAACAGCCGCCAACTTAACCATCCAAGACAAATTTACAAATGATATTATCAGACAGGCTGTAGGAACAACACCATACAGCATATTTACTGAGAAACTGAAGATCAAATGTTATATGGTCATTTAGTAAGAATAAAGCTAGAACAACAACCAATGCAGGCGCTACACATGAACAGATCTGAAGTGAAAGCAAGAAGTTGCCGCAGGAGAAGATGGATTGAAGACATAAAGAGCTTCTACATCGACACATTAAGCAATGGATCGCACACGGTTCCTCCCCAAAATGCTTCACGGCAGAAGTTGAAACTGGTGATGATGAACCAAACTGTTAGTCTGAACATCTTTGAACCAACAGTGTCGTTACTTGAACATCTTTGAACCAACAGTGTTGTTACTTGAACTTCTTTGAACCAACAGTGTTGTTACTTGAACATCTTTGAACCAACAGTGTTGTTACTTGAACATCTTTGAACCAACAGTGTTGTTACTTGAACATCTTTGAACCAACAGTGCTGTTACTTGAACATCTGTGGACTTGCATGTTTCCATCCCCATGTGGGATCTAGGTGCTAATTGGGGATTTGGGTGGGTGGGGAGGGGTGGACTTATTGTCACATAACAAGTATGTTGTACGAGGAAACTTATTAAGAGTGTTTCCTTCAAGTTTGAGTGCATCTGCCTGAGAGACAAGGACTCAGTAGTCTGCACACAAACAAGCTAAATCTGTATAAGAGATGATGTATGTGCAAAAACTCAAGCCTAGAGATGGATGAACAGCCAGAACTTTCCATAAGAGTTTAAACCGGCAAACTTTAAGAAGGAAAAAAGAATGTGTTTTTTCTCTTTAAATTAAACAGTATCACAATATAATGTGTTAAAGTAATTACTAGTTGGTACTGAAAGAGCTAAAATAGTAAGCAGCCACTTCATAGACAGTTTATGTGGACAATTTTCAACAATCTGACAAGAGAACCCTATGTGACATAGGAGGTCCATTGTGATAAATTAATTTAATGTGCAATAAAGTAATTTACTTAACTTTACAACCAGCCAGATTTGGGATGTTTAATGAACACAATTATTATCAATCAAACATATGCCCTAGTTGCACAATTAATGTAAATGTAAAACTAAATTTAAAAAAAAAGCCAAAATGAAATCAATGTGAGAAGATAACATCTGCCAATGGGAAACATTCAATGAATTTACAAGAATATTATGATCATATGCGGTTGGTCTTGTTGCCAAAATATGTACAATATCTGTTCACATGAGTGTGTTATATTTATAATGACACCGGACAGGCTAAGGACACTTATGTATCCAGAAAGTATCACAAGACACAGCATTCATTATTTGAGCAATATGCAACATTTGTTGTACATGAGAAAACACCTCATCTCAGACAGTGTCATCAATGTACAATACTGACAAATTAAGCTTTATTCTGGGTAATAACAAAGTCTTCAATCAATAAACAAAACTACACCATAAAAGAGACACAAGTGTGTCTGTACAAGCTGGCAGACTCAGCACATGGAAATCAGTGGATAAGCTGAAGCACAATAAAGCAAAGTTTATAAAGAAAGACACTTTATTGCAACAGTCGCGCACAGACCGCTGGATGAACATGCTCGTTTCTGTAACCAATCAGCAAGACTTAGCAGCAACTGTCTTGACTCTGCAAGTGTGAAAGGAATGGACAACTTTTTATCGAACAGATCTCAATATTCGCACAGATGTTTTTAAATCTGACCTGGGCTCCCGGGTCAACATAATCTTTAATGAGTACCAGGAAAAGTCCTGAGAAGTAAAAGTGGCTAGCAGTAGACTGACCAGCAAGCACCATAGCCTAATGAAAAAGCTCCAATACTTTTTTCTTATCATCTGAATGATCACACAAGATTTTTATACCAGCAGATTTATTTCTGCTTCTGTTCTTATTCCCAAAACTATCTCAAACAGCCCTGCTGATACACACATGACTGTGACCTTGCTGTCTGATACATTCTCAAGTAAGAGAACAACTGTAAATGTGTATTCTATGAAATAATACATAAAAGGCAGTAACATTTTTTTAAAACAGCTTAAAGGCAAATTAGTATCAACCTGCCCTTTCTAATCACAAGTTGAAAAAAAAAAAATCCACAGGATAATACACAAATTATATGGCAAAATCAAACAGGAAAAACTGCATCACAGATAAATGAACTCTTCAGTAAATATTTAAAAGATAAATCAACTAAACCAGCGATAACAGCCACGCATGTGCTCACAGTAAACTGAACACAAAAATCTGTGCTGTTATAAGTCAACCAATGAAGGCAAGGTCAACAAAGTCAACACGCAGCCTGGTTTGTTGCTGGACAAATGTCAGCTAAGTCAAGTTACAGAAATAATCAAGTAAAGAAATCACAGTTACACAAATCCACTATCTTTTCTAGTCATAATTTGAATACACCCGGATCGCTGGTTAAACCGGACTGAGCGGTAACCGGGTGACGAACTCCTTGTGGTCCTGGTTCAAGGTCAGGGGTAGGCAGAAAAGCCACATTTCTCCCAGATTTACGGTACCTATCATGGAATCAAGGCCGAAGGGTTGCGATATCCATAGTACCAAGCCAAAGGGTTAACAATTCATGGTTTCTGGATACTTAAAAAAAAAAAAAAAATGTGAATACACTGGAAAATACTGTCAGTACATTAGTCATTACTAGAAACAACTGTACATGAAAAAGAACAAACAGCTCTTAAACTTTTTTTTTTCTGAAATGGGAAAAAAATCTTTTCCAGGGATTGCTATTTGAAAGGTTAACTCTTTAAATTTTATTACTCTTTTGTTTTTTGAACAAATGTCCCTCCATGACTGCTTTCTGAAACACTGAGAGCTCTTTTAAATTGTTATTACTTTTTAAACAAATTTCTGAAAGATTGACAGCTCTTTAAACTTTACTACTGTTTTCTAAACAAATGTCCCTCCAGGATTGCTTTCTGAAAGATTGACAGCTCTTTAAACTTTATTACTGTTTTCCGAACAAATGTCCCTCCGGGATTGCTTTCTGAAAGATTGACAGCTCTTTAAACTTTATTACTGTTTTCCAAACAAATGTCCCTCCAGGATTGCTTTCTGAAAGATTGACAGCTCTTTAATTAAACTTTATTACTGTTTTAAACAAATGTCACTCCATGGCTGCTGTATGAAGGGCTAACAGTCATTCAGAGCTATTTTTCATATGAAAACCAACAGGAGCAATTCCCAGAAAACCAGCCATATAACTCAGTTATGTTAGGACAGCCGCCAATTATGATGTAACCTGTCGGCCAATTGAGGCAAGGCTGATTTGTTACTGCTGAACAAGTGTAACAGAGTTACCAGAAAATTAAAACAACAAGGAAATTACAGAAGTCAACTACTTTTAATTGTGGTGTACAAGCCAACTAAAAAAAATTTTTACTCAGCATTTTTAGTTAGGCCTATACCTACCTAATACATTTTATATCCACCATATAAGTTTACAGACAGTTTCTGGCATATTTTTACAGGTTTGAAAAAATTGGCTTGAACACCACAATTTATGGTATCTATTCTAGAAATAACTGTACACACTGGAAAATATGATGTCTTGGAGCTGTATACAGACAGAACCAGAAATGCTAGTAAGTAGTCCGGTGAATAAGGACCGTCAATTCTTTGGACTTTTTTTCTGCTGCAAATGAGTCAACAACAAAAACAAGAACAAGGCATGACCCAGCTATCTTTGCCAGCAATAACTGAACAGAACTCAAAAATATTATGTCTTGAGCTGCATAAGTACCAATAAGATAAAAAGGAAAGAATACTTTAGACTTAGCCTATATTGCCACAATAATAATTATACAATACAAATATTCACCTAACATAAATTTTAAAAAATTTACATTCTTTTCTAAAAAATATTCAAAATCAGTTTTAAAAGATGGCACGCCCTACATTCCGTGTATGTCAAAGAATGCACAATGTATAGTTATATAAGCAGACAATTTGACTCAAGTCAACAACACGCAAGAAGAGATAAAATATGTGCCCTAGTGACCTACGGCTCATGTGCCTGTATCAAACACTTCCTGGTGAAGCAGAGGGAAGTGCTCAAACTGGTCCGGCGCCCGCATCTTGATGTTATTCAAGAACTTAGCATGGTCGTCGCTGACCTTGCGAAACACAGGTATCATGCTCATCAGAGAGTGGAAAATGTGGTCAGCGTCTGAAAACAAACAAATTATTTTCGATAAACAATAATTTCTTTATCGTTTATTTTCATTCATTCATTCTTTACATCATTTGAAGAAGAACAGAAGGAAAACAGAATGCTCATCCCAATGACATGTTATGATAGGAAGAGGCAGATTGTTTAGACCTACCTGCCTGGTTACACTTTGGCATGGACAGCTTTCTAGAAGACCGCAGAAAACAAAATGACAACCTAAGGAAACCTGCAGAAGGACAGTGAAGGAGTGAAACCTGCTGACATGGGATACCAAGGGCAAAGGATCAGCAGCAATGTAGGGTAGTCGAAGAAGAGGAGGGTAAAGAATCTGAAATGACAAGAAATGGACAGGACTAAGTTATCATACACTTGTTCAACATGCAGAAGACAAAGATTGCAGGTTTTGTGAGCAAGTGCTTCCATCGATACACTTCCGCAACTCTTAACATGTCAAGGGTTATGTTATGTTGTGTTAAAGTGAAGAAGAAGATACTCTTAACATGTCAAGGGTTATGTTATGTTGTGTTAAAGTGAAGAAGAAGATACTAAAACAAACCTGCCAAATTATCACAGCTGAAGTTAAGAGGCAAAAGGATTGAGTTCACTGCACCAGATTTCATCCCACATGGCTCGGCACGGGCTCCCCTTACAAAACAGCTAGCCACCTGGCAAGAGCATTGTACAAAGCACAAGCTCTGAAGCTCTAGTAATGATCCCAAAAGGTCTGTGTAAAAGGGCACTTGAGAACCAAGTGAATGTCTGTGAAATGAACCCATGACCTACAGAACTGAGGTCTTCTGCCAAATTACTGATGTGAATGATTAACAAGAAATGATGTCAAAGCATTCAGGACACACCAACACATGCTCAGTAACTCAGTATTTATCAGTATAAGAAGGAAGTAGTGGGACGGTTGATTTTAAATGATCCTGCGCCATACCTGGCTGTAACCAAGTCTGTTACTGTCATGAAGGATGCCAAATGACAAAAGTCAGGCTGATTTAATCAACCATTACGCCAGCTGCAGCCACCTATCATATACGACACATTTGATGTGGATGTGACTTCAAATATACCTGATACTGACAAATGAGATGAGTTAACTAGTTTATGTCCTTGTTGCTTTCCCTCCCGAAGGCTTTTCTAGTCAGAATTCAAAAGTTTTGTGCTAATAAATTTTTGTTGTTGTTTTGTTTGTTTGTTTGTTAAATAAAAGCAACAACAAAAATGTTAAATGATCACTTTGGATAGTAAAGAGGTTCAATGCAAGGAGCCTTTGATCACTTTGGACACTAAAGCGGTTCAATGTAACGAGCCTTTGATAACTTTGGATAGTATAGAGGTTCAATGTAACGAGTCTTTTATCACTTTGGATAGTAAAGAGGTTCAATGTAGCGAGTCTTTTATCACTTTGGATAGTAAAGAGGTTCAATGTAACGAGCCTTTTATCACTTTGGACACTAAAGCGGTTCAATGTAATGAGCATTTGATAACTTTGGATAGTATAGAGGTTCAATGTAATGAGTCTTTTATCACTTTGGATAGTAAAGAGGTTCAATGTAGCGAGTCTTTTATCACTTTGGATAGTAAAGAGGTTCAATGTAACGAGCCTTTTATCACTTTGGACACTAAAGCGGTTCAATGTAAGGAGCCTTTTATCACTTTGGATAGTAAAGAGGTTCAATGTAACGAGCCTTTTATTACATTGGACACTAAAGTGGTTCAATGTAACAAGCCTTTGATAACTCTTGATAGTAAAGAGGTTCAATGTAACGAGCCTTTTATCACTTTGGATAGTAAAGAGGTTCAATGTAGCGAGCCTTTTATCACTTTGGATAGTTAAGAGGTTCAATGTAATGAGTCTTTTATCACTCTGGATAGTAAAGAAGTTAAATGTAGCGAGTCTTTTATCACTTTGGATAGTAAAGAGGTTCAATGTAACGAGCCTTTTATCACTTTGGATAGTAAAGAGGTTCAATGTAACGAGCCTTTTATCACTTTGGATAGTTAAGAGGTTCAATGTAACGAGCCTACCTTCATGGCACTGTTTCAGCTGGAAGTAAAGTGCCTGCATAAAGAGCTGCTGAATTGTGTGAATAGCTGTACGATTCTTCAGGCCCTCTCGGTCTGAAAATAAACAGATCACACTGAGTTTTCCTATTCATCCAAGACCAACATATTTCTGTTTGAACATATGCCCATAACTTTTAGGTACTAACACACAAGTACTTGACATATGTACAAAGTACACCCACTTGTTGAAAACTGAACTTAGCTGCCAAACTTTCGGGTACTGACACACAGGTACTTGACATCTGTACAAAGTACACCCACTTGTAGAAGATTGAACTTATAACGCCCCTTTCAGGTATTAACACACAAGTACTTGACATATGTACAAAGTACACAGACTTGTAGAAGACTAAACTTATAACCCCTACTTTCAGGTTTTTGACATGTGTACAAAATAGACCCACTTGTGGAAGACCAAATTTATTACCCCACTTTCAGGTACTAACACACAAGTACTTGACATATGTACAAAGTACACCCGCTTGTAGAAGACTGAACTATAACCTCAATTTCGGGTAATAACACAAGGAAGTACTTGACATATGCACAAAGTACACCCCCTTGTAGAAGACAAACATAATTTCACTTTCAGGTACTAACACAAAAGTACTTGACATAAGTACACAGTGCACCAACTTGTAGAACTTATAACCCCACTTTCAGGTACTAACACACAAGAACCTGACATATGTACAAAGTGCACCAACTTGTAGAACTTATAACCCCACTTTCAGGTACTATCACACAAGTACCTGACATAAGAACAAAGTACACCAGCTTGTAGAACTTATAAACCCACTTTCAGGTACTATCAAACAAGTACCTGACATAAGTACAAAGTACACCAACTTGTAGAACTTATAACCCCACTTTCAGGTACTATCACACAAGTACCTGACATAAGTACAAAGTACACCAACTTGTAGAACTTATAACCCCACTTTCAGGTACTATCACACAAGTACCTGACATAAGAACAAAGTACACCAGCTTGTAGAACTTATAAACCCACTTTCAGGTACTAAAACACAAGTACCTGACATATGTTCAAAGTACACCAACTTGTAGAACTTATAACCCCACTTTCAGGTACTAACACATAAGTACTTGACATATGTACAAAGTACACCAACTTGTGGAACTTATTACCCCACTTTCAGGTACTAACACATAAGTACTTGACATATGTACAAAGTACACCAACTTGTGGAACTTATAATCTCACTTTCAGGTACTAACACATAAGTACTTGACATATGTACAAAGAACACCAACTTTTAGAACTCATAACTCCACTTTCAGGTACTAACACACAAGTACCTGATGGGTGTACAAAGAACACCCATGTGTGGAAGACTGAACTTATAACACCCACTTTCAAATACTAACACATAAGTACTTGACATGTGTACAAAGTACACCCATTTTTTGAAGATGACACTTATAACCTCACTTTCAGGTACAGAGTGCATGCACTCGAAGAAAACCTGGTATGAGATATTTTACAAATTATCCAACCAGTCAATTCCTGAACATGATGAACTTCTTTTTCTTCTCTCTTTGCATTCAGTTTCTTATCCTCAACTCAGATCTTCAGGTGGGCTGCCTCTATGAATTTGCATGTCAGTTGCAGGTCCTTCGTGGTTTCCCCTAGATTGCTCTGCACGCTGTGTTCTTGAGTCCGGCTTTCTCTTCGTATCTGTAAGTATAGCTTGGCAGACCTGCAAAATTTGCTCAAGTGTTTGTGGTCCCATCTGATATGCACACGGCAGCGACTACATACTTTATTTTATACATGTGGTAGCTGAGCCTGCAGTGTCCTATTCTTAATCTGTTGATGGGGTCCTGAAGATGTTAAATGTTGTTTGTTCTCTCTATTAATTCATCATAACCTTTACCTTTTGTTTTGTTTTTTGATAACCAGCACTTGGTGGGTGATGCGGTAAACATCATGCCAGCTGAACTGTGCTAAACTGTAGCTTGATGCTGGTGAACACACTTCACAATCTTCAATGCACCAGGGCTTGATATTTCTTCTTTGCTGGCTTAGAAAAAGACTGTCCTAACCACTTTTTGGAATGGAGAGCTGCTCCACATAAAATTCCTAGAGCCAACCTAGACCGTGGAAGTGGCACCATTCTTTAAAAGGCAGCATACACTGCTCATAGTGTGATTACTGATGCATTACTTAACTCCCATTTTAGTACTCCTCTACATTTGTACACAGCAAATTACGGCCATCCCAATATGGGGGCGCAATTTTCAGTATTTTAAAGCCCGGCTTGTTGTCGGGAGCCTTAATATAACATAACGGTTAAATGGGGATTATGAGACTTGCACCCGTGTGATTCTCATCCGGATGGTCGCAGTTTGTGTCACTGGGTGCTTATCCCTCGTTGTGCAGCCCTGCAGGGGTTTGAACCTCATTCATTTGTACACGTCTAGATTTGTAGACAGTGAAACTGTCATTTTGGCTAAAAACACACATCTCTAGCTCTGCAGCAGACAGTTTAAATGTCATTTTGGCTAAACTCAAAACACATCTCTAATAAGTGTCATTTTGGCTAAACTCAAAACACATCTCTAATAAGTGTCATTTTGGTGACACAGATCTTAAGCTTTGTAGACAGCAAATTGTAATTTTGGCTATAAACATACATCTTTAGTTGAGCAGACACTGCAACTGTTCTTCTTCTTCTTCTTCGCGTTCACCAGCTGTACACTCTGGCGGAAAGTTCTGGTTGTTCGTCCACTCCTGGACTTCAGTCCTGCTCCAGAACCTGAGTGTTGCATGTGCATCAGTTTTACAGATCTGATTTACTTGAATGCAGACTGTTGGTTCCTTGCCTCTCAGGCAGATGCACTCTGACTTCAAAGGAAGCTCCCAGTTAGTCGACTCTTACGACATGCTTTTGGGTAGGCAGCGGGTCTATACTTGTTTTCCCCACAATGGGGCCCCGAAACCCACACAGGGAACTGCAACTGTTATTTTGGCTGTTCACACACATCTTTAGCTTAGCAGACAGTGCAACTGTCATTTTGGCTACAAAAACACATCTTTAGCTTTACAGACAGTACAGTTGTCATCTTGGCAAACACAAATCTTTAGCTTAGTAGACAGTTCGACTGTCATTTTACACACAAACACATCTATTGTGGCTACATACAAACACATCTATTGTGGCTACATACAAACATATCTATTGTGGCTACATACAAACACATCTATTGTGGCTACATAAAAACACATCTATTGTGGCTACATAAAAACACATCTATTGTGGCTACACAAAAATACATCTATTGTGGCTACATACAAACACATTTATTGTGGCTACACACAAACACATCTAATTTGGCCAAAAACAAATTCTTCCTGAAGAAAGAAACTATACCTGGACAAATCATGAGGATGGCAGTAAAAAGCCCAATTTCACCATCTGTTAGATGTAGTGGGTTGAACCTTTTCGCCACTTGGAAGAATTCATCTAGAAACGGGCCAATAGGCATCTCCCGTATGATATACCTGCATGTACAATGATTTGTTAAAGTGTACAGTAATAAAGTTATTTGCTGCATTTAAAGCAACAGATGTTAGCATCTGTGGTTTGGGGGTTATAAAGGTCATCTAACAATCCTGATCTATCAAGGATGTTAAGAGGTCAGCTGCAGGTAATTTGGCAGCAGACTGTTTTGTGCGTATTTCAACAAACATAACAGGGTCTCACCGTTTAGAAACAATGGCAAACTGATCAAAGTAAAACTGTCCAGTAAAACTACACAGAATGTTGTGTTTGGTCTGCAATAACCTGTAAAGGACATGCAACAAACTGTTTGAAGCAACAACCATGGTTCTTGCTTGCTCTTCTTCTCCTGCATTCCCCTGTAAAATTGTGGTTGGCAGGATTATTGTGATTTACAGCTAGACAGTGATATCTCTGCCTTTTGGTCCAACAAATCCAATTTTAGCAAATCTTTAGCCGCCTTTATGACATGCATTTTAAGTGTCAGCATTCTTTTTTTTCTCTTTCAACTTCTCTAGTCTTATTCTGCCTTTCAGCATCAGGTTCTGAAGATGCATCAGGTGCGAGCCTTGGTATGTGCTATGTAGATGTGGGTATTTATGGACTAGGATATTCCATCTATCCACTGCCTGTGTGGTCAACCTCTGGATTTTCTTGCGTTATGTTAAGTGACAGGGCTCTCTGTGGTGCCCTATCTGATGGAAGTTTTGGCATATTTTTATCTCCAAACCATTTGATCTGTTGTCTCTTGATGTAATTTAGTACTGGTTCCATGCAAACCTCTTTCCAACTTCATAATTTCTGACCCTGTCGCTTTTAGTAGCAGTTAAGATTTGCCGTAGACAATTCATTTTTGTTCTTAATTTTGTTTGTTGTTTTTGTTTGTTAATTCTTATCAAATTATTTGTCTGCGAGCAAGATTTTAATCCACTGCCAGCTTGCTAGGCCTGTCACAGCTGAGGGAAGTATTTAGTCAGATGGATTCTATCCCATCTGGCAAGCCAGAGCTAATTTAGCCTGAGATCTCACAGTCTCTGTCTCCCCCCCCCCCCCCCCCCCCCCCCTTTAACATGGAGATCTGCAAAACACGAGGAGCTCTTTATTTCTGTGGTACATCTTCCATCTTTCAGTTCCAAGCAATCTGCCATGTGTAACCGGATGTTTTCCATGTGGACCAAACGATGTGTGGCATGGCTGGCATTTAGCCTAATAATACTATATAAATCTGGCTAGTTGAAATGCCCAACTCAGTATTTGTTTGCTGCATCTGCAACAGTTACGCTTTCACACTCTGTTTATGTTCACTTTAATGACTTACCTTGTGAATGTCCAATTATATTTTTTTTGGTAAACCCCTATTACCTGCCCTTTACGATTTGTTTGTGGTGGGGAGGTAGTAGGTATATTGTGCTTGGTAGAGGGACAATAAACAGCATCCTTTCTCGAAAGCTGAAATATTTTGGTCATACCAAGCGCCACAACGGATTGGAAAAAATTATAGCAGAAGGCATGGTACCAGGAAGGAGGGGCAGGGGCCGACCGACACGAAGATGGGCACAGGATATAAGTGACTCCTTGTGTGTGAAAGTGCATGAGGCGGGAGAACTGGCGAGAGACTGAGTTTCTTTCAGGCAGACTGTGATGAGAGCAACGTTCTGCAAAGGACCTGCTATATGATGATGATGATGAGAGAACATTGGGTGTATTTTACCCCCTTATCAGCAGGAGGCAAATGGCTCATTTACTTTGCGACAGTGACCCATTAAAAAAGAAAAACACTTGTTAGTTAAAGCACACTGTTAAGGGCCTCACCTTGGAGATTTCATCTTCAGCAGTGGGTCAAACATCTCCTCATTTATATGGTCCACGAGAATAGAGAACCGAGCCACCATCACTTCAAAAGTGCCCTGTTTAATCAGCAGAATCTGGTCATCTTGCTCTACCTCAGAGAACCCTGGAAGTTTCTTGCAGAACTTCACCACCTTAGTGATCTCTGGCACCATGGAGGTCAGGAACTGCTGCCATACAGAGGAGGCACTCAGGGACAGCTTGGACATGTCAGGCTGGGGATAAGACAAACAATCTGTGATTGTTCTGTGGACTGTATGATCTTGTGTTAGCACAGCGCAACAGAAGCAGTGGTGAGACATGCATGTAACGGCTATAATCGCTGCTTGCACTTTTGACAGAAAAAGAAAAATACATTACTACTGTTTATTATCCCAAATATGCCACTCAGTTTACATCTTGCAGAGCAGGTACCACTTGTTAATAGTACTAATATAGTGAAAAGAACGTCTGCTGTATATGTCACTTATGCAGAAACTGAATCATACAAGAGCTAGCAGTTACTAATAGTACTATGCTAGCTTTGCAGACATACTCTTGATGGCCAAGCAATGAAAAGGAAAATATCACATGACACCCTCACCTGTGTTTAGGCAAGTGTTTAATTTGATCTAAACTGCTTACATACAGGAACTGATCACGCCTGGCCACTGCAAACCATTTTTGTTGTTGTTGACCTGGATTCCAGAGTTGATGTAGCCTAAAAAAGGTACCAGGACATATTCTGGCAAGTAAACGTGGCCAGCATGATGCTGCCCACATCAACTGATTCCCAACTGGCCTTTAAAAAAAAATTTTTTTTTTTATGTGTGTCTAGTATCATATGCCCAATAGAAGAGAAGGCTCCTGGATGTTGACTTATATCTGTTTAGGTCATATACCAAAGATGAGAAGGCTCCTGGATGTTGACTTTGTATCTGTTTAGGTCATATACCAAAGATGAGAAGGCTCCTGGATGTTGACTTGTATCTGTTTAGGTCACATACCAAAGAAGAGAAGGCTCCTGGATGTTGACTTGTATCTGTTTAGGTCATATACCAAAGAGAAGGCTCCTGGAGGTTGACTTGTATCTGTTTAGGTCATATACTAAAGAAGAGAAGGCTCCTGGATGTTGACTTGTATCTGTTTAGGTCATATACCAAAGAAGAGAAGGCTCCTGGATGTTGACTTATATCTGTTTAGGTCATATACCAAAGAAGAGAAGGCTCCTGGATGTTGACTTATATCTGTTTAGGTCATATACCAAAGAAGAGAAGGCTCCTGGATGTTGACTTTGTATCTGTTTAGGTCATATACCAAAGATGAGAAGGCTCCTGGATGTTGACTTGTATCTGTTTAGGTCATATACCAAAGAAGAGAAGGCTCCTGGATGTTGACTTGTATCTGTTTAGGTCATATACTAAAGAAGAGAAGGCTCCTGGATGTTGACTTGTATCTGTTTAGGTCATATACCAAAGAAGAGAAGGCTCCTGGATGTTGACTTATATCTGTTTAGGTCATATACCAAAGAAGAGAAGGCTCCTGGATGTTGACTTATATCTGTTTAGGTCATATACCAAAGAAGAGAAGGCTCCTGGATGTTGACTTATATCTGTTTAGGTCATATCCCAAAGAAGAGAAGGCTCCTGGATGTTGAATTTGTATCTGTTTAGGTCATATACCAAAGAAGAGAAGGCTCCTGGATGTTGACTTATATCTGTTTAGGTCATATACTAAAGAAGAGAAGGCTCCTGGATGTTGACCTTGTATCTGTTTAGGTCATATACCAAAGAAGAGAAATGACCACAAATATTTTCTAAAATGTTGAATTCATCCACCTTCGTTAAATGGCACAGAAACCTAGACAATAAAATAACAAAACCAACCAGAAAGTCAAACTGAGGCCTTGGAGGTGTGGATATAGACAGGAATATGTCCTAATTTATGGAAGTGACATTTTGTGTCCATAATGAAAGACAACACTCTTTAAAGAAAAAAAGAAAGAAAAAAAAATACTACGTTTTCAAACAGCCTTAGACACAAAAATAATTTATTATAACATCAAAATAAGAATTCATCATAAGAATTCAAGATTTATGAAAAGTGTATTCCTTCTCATAAAATGTCTTGACTATCTCAAGTTAGTCTAAAGATTTCATTGACTATCAGCTCATGGTATTTGCATTTCCCTCAGAAACCATATTTCTGCTGCCATTGCTTAGATGCTGTTTCAGCTTGTCAGTTCTGGTAAAATTCACTGCAGTAAATCACTGTGCCACCAAGACTGTAACAGGTATCTAATTCACATTACAGTGAATTCATTACCCCCACCATGTTAGTTATCACAACGGACGAGCATTCCCATGTGCGGTCAGTCCTCTGATGCAGCAACCACTCCAAGGTAACTCTACTTAATTTCATGCACCATACCACACCCATTAAATAATCAGCAATATGTCACACCATACCACACCCATTAAATAATCAAACAATATGTCTTACCATATCATGCGATTCTTTCATCTTTTTAATTTTAGCATTTGCCTCTGTCACATTAGCGTGAGTATTGATGGTGGTCGCCATGTGTGCCTCTATAATAGCATCTGTCACCTGGGCAATCAGGAGGCGCCGGGTTTCTGAAGGAGTCTCATGCACCTGGTTTATACACAGAGATTTTGTTAACAAAGCTGAAGACAAACTGGTTATATCTGATATCACATAGATATTTGTGGTAATAAAGCTGGAGACAAACTGGTTTTATGTGATATCACATAGATATTTGTGGTAATAAAGCTGGAGACAAACTGGTTATATGTGATATCACATAGATATTTGTGGTAATAAAGCTGGAGACAAACCGGTTAGATGTGATATCACATAGATATTTGTGGTAAGATATTTGTGGTAATAAAGCTGGAGACAAACTGGTTATATGTGATATCACAGAGATATTTGTGGTAATAAAGCTAAAAACCAACTGGTTACATGTGATAACACAGAGATATTTGTGGTAATAAAGCTAGAGACCAACTGGTTACATGTGATATCACATAGATATTTGTGGTAATAAAGCTGACCAACTGGTTATATGTGATAACACATAGATATTTGTGGTAATAAAGCTGGAGACAAACTGGTTAGATGTGATAACACATAGATATTTGTGGTAATAAACCTGGAGACAAACTGGTTATATGTGATAACACAAATTATGTTAGTGCAGCTGGATACAAACTGGTTTTTTGTGATGATACAGAGAGTGCATTAATACAGATGATGACAAAAACATCTACGAAAAAAAATTAGTGTATAATTAATTTAATTAAAGACATGTATGAAACTGATGAGCTGATTGTAAGTGAGCACCAAAATGAAAAAATGAAAAAAAAAAACATTTCTTAACACATAAACCAAAAATGAATGAGATTAGTAGCTCAACATAACAATGATTAATAACTAAAGACTACAATGAACAGCAACTAAACATAACAAGGATTAACTAACTACAACTATAACAATGACTATTGACTAACAAAATGACTAGTAACTAAATAAAATAAATAGTAACCAAATACAAAAATACAAAACTGACTAGTAACTACACACTAAAATGACTAGTAACTAAACACTTTAATGACTAGCGACTAAACAAAACAATGACTAGTAACTAAACACAATAACTAGTAACCAAATACAAAAATACAACACTGACTAGTAACCACAAACTAAAAGGACTAGTAACTAAAGACTTTAATGAATAGTGACCAAATATGACTATTAACTAAATACGACAATGATTAGAACTAAATACAACACAAACTATGACGAGCAACCATGATCTTTCCTTTTTTTTTAAGTGAGATTTCAAGTCACAGTTTGTATCGTAGTTGCAAATCATAACCTGTATTGTGTTGTAGATAAAAGTCATAGTTTGAGTTGTGTTGTAGTTACAAGTCATAGTCTTGTTTGTGTTCTGGTTAAAAGTCATAGTTTGTGTTGTAGTTATACATTATAGTTTGTGTTGTGGTTAGTTACAAGTCAAAGTTTGTGTTGTGGTTAGTTGATAGTCAAACTTTGTGTTGTGGTTAGTTACCAGTCATAGTTTGTGTTGTAGTTACAAGTAATAGTTTGTGTTGTAGTTACAGTCATAGTTTTTGTTTTAGTTACAAGTCATAGTTTTTGTTGTAGTTACAAGTCATAGTTTGTGTTTTGTTGTAGTTACCAGTCATAGTTTATGTTGTAGTTACAAGTAATAGTTTGTGTTTTGTTGTAGTTACCAGTCATAGTTTATGTTGTAGTTACAAGTAATAGTTTGTGTTTTGTTGTAGTTACCAGTCATAGTTTATGTTGTAGTTACAAGTAATAGTTTGTGTTTTGTTGTAGTTACAAGTCATAGTTTATGTTGTAGTTACAAGTAATAGTTTTTGTTGTAGTTACAAGTAATAGTTTGTGTTTTGTTGTAGTTACAAGTAATAGTTTTTGTTGTAGTTACAAGTAATAGTTTGTGTTTTGTTGTAGTTACCAGTCATAGTTTATGTTGTAGTTACAAGTAATAGTTTGTGTTTTGTTGTAGTTACCAGTCATAGTTTATGTTGTAGTTACAAGTAATAGTTTGTGTTTTGTTGTAGTTACAAGTAATAGTTTGTGTTGTAGTTACCAGTCATAGTTTGTGTTTTGTTGTAGTTACCAGTCATAGTTTATGTTGTAGTTACAAGTAATAGTTTGTGTTTTGTTGTAGTTACCAGTCATAGTTTTTGTTGTAGTTACCAGTCATAGTTTGTGTTTTGTTGTAGTTACAAGTAATAGTTTGTGTTTTGTTGTAGTTACCAGTCATAGTTTATGTTGTAGTTACAAGTAATAGTTTGTGTTTTGTTGTAGTTACCAGTCATAGTTTTTGTTGTAGTTACCAGTCATAGTTTGTGTTTTGTTGTAGTTACAAGTAATAGTTTGTTTTTTGTTGTAGTTACCAGTCATAGTTTGTGTTTTGTTGTAGTTACAAGTAATAGTTTGTGTTTTGTTGTAGTTACAAGTAATAGTTTGTGTTTTGTTGTAGTTACCAGTCATAGTTTGTGTTTTGTTGTAGTTACAAGTAATAGTTTGTGTTTTGTTGTAGTTACAAGTAATAGTTTGTGTTGTAGTTACCAGTCATAGTTTATGTTGTAGTTACAAGTAATAGTTTGTGTTTTGTTGTAGTTACCAGTCATAGTTTTTGTTGTAGTTACCAGTCATAGTTTGTGTTTTGTTGTAGTTACAAGTAATAGTTTGTGTTTTGTTGTAGTTACCAGTCATAGTTTATGTTGTAGTTACAAGTAATAGTTTGTGTTTTGTTGTAGTTACCAGTCATAGTTTGTGTTTTGTTGTAGTTACAAGTAATAGTTTGTGTTTTGTTGTAGTTACCAGTCATAGTTTTTGTTGTAGTTACCAGTCATAGTTTGTGTTTTGTTGTAGTTACCAGTCATAGTTTATGTTGTAGTTACAAGTCATAGTTTGTGTTACAGTTACAATTCATAGTTTGTGTTTTGTTGTAGTTACCAGTCATAGTTTGTGTTGTAGCTACAAGTCATAGTTTGTGTTGTAGTTACAAGTCATAGTTTGTGTTTTGTTGTAGTTACCACCATAGCTTGTGTTGTAGTTACAAGTCATAGTTTGTGTTACAGTTACAAGTCATAGTTTGTGTTTTGTTGTAGTTACCACCATAGCTTGTGTTGTAGTTACAAGTCATAGTTTGTGTTACAGTTACAAGTCATAGTTTGTGTTTTGTTGTAGTTACCACCATAGTTTGTGTTGTAGTTACAAGTCATAGTTTGTGTTACAGTTACAAGTCATAGTTTGTGTTACAGTTACAAGTCATAGTTTGTGTTTTGTTGTAGTTACCACCATAGCTTGTGTTGTAGTTACAAGTCATAGTTTGTGTTACAGTTACAAGTCATAGTTTGTGTTTTGTTGTAGTTACCAGTCATAGTTTGTGTTGTAGCTACAAGTCATAGTTTGTGTTACAAGTCATAGTTTGTGTTGTAGTTACCACCATAGTTTGTGTTGTAGTTACAAGTCATAGTTTGTGTTACAGTTACAAGTCATAGTTTGTGTTGTAGTTACCAGTCATAGTTTGTGTGTGTAGTTACAAGTCATAGTTTGTGTTAGTGTTGTAGTTACAAGTCATAGTTTGTGTTGCAGTTACCAGTCACAGTTTGTTAGTTACTAGTGATAGTTTGTGTTGTCTAAGGTTTGTTTTTGTGAGACAAACTAGCTTTGAATCAAGTAAAAATCTCTTCTTACCTCTGCCATAATGCGCCGCACATCAAATGAAGTGCTGACGAAAGGTTCATAGAAGTCACAGCTTGCTTCAGAAGGCTCCTGTTTGATTACAACTGTCTCAAACTGAAAGTGAAATGACAAATGAAATAACATTGCGAAAAACCAAAATGCCATACTCAGTTGTGAAACTGCAATAGTGCAGGGACGAGGCCTTTGCCTATCGGCCCAAAGGTCTAGGCTTTAAGTCCACATCAAGCAGATTTGTATAACTGACCTGGGACTACCAGGGTGACCTAAAGTCGGCAGCAGAAAACATCATGGGAAGCAAAGGCATCAGCTAGCATGAGACTGAAGTCACTGAAGTTAAACAGACTATGAAAATATGGGCATAGCACTGTGTGCCTGATATGTTAATGGCATGATATTGGTTCATTTCAAGTTATAAAACTTGTTTTCTTTTGGTGCTTATTTTGAAGAGGACACTGGCTATCATAACCTCTATCCTCTTATCTGATGTTTTAATGAAGTTGGCGTTAATTATTTCTCTTGTCACCTTTTGAGCCTTTCAGCTCAAAGCAGCTGTTATTTAAACTCAGTCAATCCCAATGAGCTTAAGAAGAATAAATATTTATGTCTGGAGATCACCATAGACATTATGGGGATAGATACAGCTAATTCCAAATGAATGACTCAAGAACTGACATCACTGCACTTAGGGCATTCCCAGATGTCCTTTGTCCCCATCCTCAATAGCCAACACATCATTAAATAATGATGGTGTCAGTTGCAACCTGATTTAATGTCTGCCTTTCTTTTTCCCCTGCACACTGAAAACCGCCCAGATCCTCGGCTCAGTCGCCTCTGAATCAGCTTCTCGAGGTTCCCCTGCATGTTCACCTGATCAAAAAGCTTCTGAATCAGCTTCTCAAGGTTCCACTGTATGTCCACCTGATCTCAAAGTTCCCCTGCATGTCCGCCTGATCTCAAAGCTTCTGAATCAGCTTCTCAAGGTTCCACTGTATGTCCACCTGATCTCAAAGCTTCTAAATCAGCTTCTCAAGGTTCCCCTGCATGTCCCCCTGATTTCAAAGCTTCTGAATCAGCTTCTCAAGGTTCCCCTGCATGTCCCCCTGATTTCAAAGCTTCTGAATCAGCTTCTTGAGGTTCCCCTGCATGTCCCCCTGATTTCAAAGCTTCTGAATCAGCTTCTCAAGGTTCCCCTGCATGTCCCCCTGATTTCAAAGCTTCTGAATCAGCTTCTTGAGGTTCCCCTGCATGTCCACCTGATCTCAAAGCTTCTGAATCAGCTTCTCAAGGTTCCCCTGCATGTCCACCTGATCTCAAAGCTTCTGAATCAGCTTCTCAAGGTTCCCCTGCATGTCCACCTGATCTCAAAGCTTCTGAATCAGCTTCTCAAGGTTTCCCTGCATGTCCACCTGATCTCAAAGCTTCTGAATCAGCTTCTCAAGGTTCCCCTGCATGTCCCCCTGATTTCAAAGCTTCTGAATCAGCTTCTTGAGGTTCCCCTGCATGTCCACCTGATTTCAAAGCTTCTGAATCAGCTTCTCAAGGTTCCCCTGCATGTCCCCCTGATTTCAAAGCTTCTGAATCAGCTTCTTGAGGTTCCCCTGCATGTCCCCCTGATTTCAAAGCTTCTGAATCAGCTTCTCAAGGTTCCCCTGCATGTCCCCCTGATTTCAAAGCTTCTGAATCAGCTTCTTGAGGTTCCCCTGCATGTCCACCTGATCTCAAAGCTTCTGAATCAGCTTCTCAAGGTTCCCCTGCATGTCCACCTGATCTCAAAGCTTCTGAATCAGCTTCTCAAGGTTCCCCTGCATGTCCCCCTGATTTCAAAGCTTCTGAATCAGCTTCTTGAGGTTTCCCTGCATGTCCACCTGATCTCAAAGCTTCTGAATCAGCTTCTCAAGGTTCCCTTGCATGTCCACCTGATCTCAAAGCCTCTGAATCAGCTTCTTGAGGTTTCACTGCATGTCCACCTGATCTCAAAGAGCCTTCACTGCGTCTGAAGTAGTAAAGTCAGTAAATACCTTTTTTTAACAAGTGGCCAAGCAGGCATAACATTTTTTTTTTAAAAACAAAAGGACCCTTTTCTACACCTTGAGGCGTACTGGGCATTTAGGGCTAGACATATTTTATAGACCAATTGGTACGCTGTGGGTAATGTGGTCAACATTATACCGGCTGCTTTAACTTCCCAGCACCCACTTAATGCTGGGTCAAACTGGAAACCAAGGTCAGTTGAGAAGAAAAAAGTTCAGCTCCGCCAGGACTTGAACCCATGACCTTCCAACGTGTAGGCTAGCATTTAGCCACTACATGTCGGTGGCTCCCAGGCATATGAAGCTAGATTCATATCTGTATGCGCGAATCGGTATTCTCTTGAAGTGGGCGAACAATCTGATTTGTGTGTAACTTAGAATTGGTTCTGTGCCAGCTTTATCTCATACATTTATTCCAGATTTGTATCTATTCAGGTCACTCTTGCAGCCTTTCTCAGACATTTCAATTTCAGAGTTACTGATTTTCTTTTCTGGTTTGTTGTGAGTGACCACTGTTGTGAGTGACCACTGTTGTGAGTGATCACTGTCATGAGTGACCATGTCTGGCACTGACAGCATATAGGGGGATGTAAGGATCCTTTGTGCGCTTTTTCCAATGCATAGTACAAGTTGGTGTTCATTTGTTAGGTTGCTCCTGATTCTGTCACTCCATCTCTTGAGTGGTCTTTCCCTTGCTCTGTGTTCATTATATTTCTTCAGTATGGCTCTCTGTAGCAGTTGGTACCAGGGCATTCTCATTCAGTGGCCAAAACATCTGATTTTTTGTTCTTTAATGAACTGTATGACTGGTTTCAGTCTGAGTCTTCTCTTTTCTTTATTCTTGATTTTATATCTTCTTTTCACACCGGCAGCTCTACTAAGACATCTCATCTCTGTTGTTACGACCTTTCACTCATTAGTTGTAGTAAGGTTTCATGTTTGGCACTGGTAGCACAATGTTGGCCAAAAAACCGTTCTTGTGAGATTTGTTTTGGTTGACAGAGGTATCTTTCATGATACAGAATGAACAGATATATAACTGCATGATACAGAATAAACACATATTATATTATAATACTGCATGACAGCTAACAATGAATATCACAGAGAACGGGGTGAAATTGGAACAAGTTTCTTATATCTTGGACAAGTAATAACATGTGACGGCAGAAGTGAAACAGAAGTCGAGAAAAGAATAGGGATGGCCAAAAACATTTTCAACAACATGCAAAAGTTACTGACATCAAGAGAAATAAGCAATACATTAAAAATGAGAATTGTCAAATGTTATGTATTCTCAACCTTACTGTATGGCACAGAGACATGGACAATGAACAAACAACTGGAAAATCGTATAGATTCTTTAAAGATGTGGATATACAGAAGATTAGGTCGTATTTCATGGGAAAAAAAGCTATCAAATACAGACGTACTGAGGAAATTGGGAATGAAAAGAGAGTTGCTAGGTGAAATAAAAAAGAGACAAGTGAAATATTTTGGCCAAATTAAAAGACATAACAGTATTGTAAAGATCATCCTAGAGGGAAAGGTTCAAGGTAGGTGAGCGAGAGGCAGACAGCGTTACAAGTGGGAGGATAACATCAAGAGATGGACGAACAGCAGTATAAGTGAGTGTACAACAAAGGCAAGAGACAGGGCTTGTTGGAGATCCATTGCAGCCAACCTTCATTGTGGAGATGGCACCTGATTGATTGACTGCATGACACAGAATAAACACATATTATATTACTAACTGCATGATACAGAATGAACACATATTATATTACTAACTGCATGATACATAATGAAAACATATTGTATTACTAACTGCATGATACAGAATAAACACATTATATTACTAACTGCATGATACATAATGAAAACATATTGTATCACTAACTGCATGATACAGAATGAACACATATTGTATTACTAACTGCATGATACAGAATGAACACATATCATCACTAACTGCACGATACAGAATAAACACATATCATTACTAACTGCAGTATACAGAATGAATACATATCATTACTAACTGCATGATACAGAATGAATACATATTATATTATTAACTGCATGATACAGAATAAACACATATTATATTAATAACTGCATGATACAGAAAAACACATATATCATACTGACCTCCTGTTTAACATTTCCAGGAGAGAACATGCCAGAGGTTTGTGACATGAGATCTTCATTGATAATCACATCCGCCTTGCTGTCAACTTGAGCTTTTGTATTGTAGGTATTACTGCCTGTTGTCGCAGGACTTGACACAGAGTCGGCAAAGGCCAGCGGGTTGAATGACATAAAGTTTGAATGGGAATCAGAATCAAGGACGTCAAGTGGGAAAATAAGTGGGGAGGGATTATCATTGGCCGATTGTCCTCCAGGAGAATATACTGAAAAAAAAATGCATTAAAACAAACATTTAATTAAAAAACAAACAAACCCGGTGAAGCCCCTCAGAAAATAATATTCCTAAAGAAAACAGTGGTACACTGTAGCTGGCACACACTGTTTTCTTATCTCTCTCCATAAACCTTTCCATCTGTCACAACAAATTACAGTTGTTCCCCTCTCATGGTTAAACAATGATGACCGCATCTCCCAGGTGAATTCTTAGAAAAACCTTTGCATGCGTTCATTTTTTAAAAAGTGGTTGGCACATTGTGTAGTGGTGTCCAAAAATGGAACCCTGGAACCCACATTTCTAGTTATACCATGACCAGGTTATCTCAGTGTGTCCTATCCAGTGCCAGCATCTTTTTCTCAGTTCTTGCTGACCACTGGAATTTGTTTTGATTCTCTCCCAAAGCTCAAAGTTAGTGATCCTGACATACTATTTAACTCTCTTCTTTCTTTCCAAGCAACAATTAATAGTCTACATTCATAAGTTTATTCAGGCGAAGATCGGAATACCTATGGATGAATCCACAGAGATAAAGGACCTTTTTCAAGCCTAAGTTTCACTCGCATATGTAGACCTATATTTTTTTTTGGACTAACTGACAATCAATGGGTGATGTGGTCACCATCACGCTGGCTGCCTTGACTTCCCAAGTCAGTACCTTGTACCTGTTTTGGACTGGATCAACTTGGCAGCCATGGTCAATTTTTAAAAGAAAAAAATCCATCTTAATGCAGATTTGATCCCTAGACCTTCAGGCCAGCAGGCAAGTGTCTAGCCACAAAGCTCCCTCAGGTGATGATGATACTCCTGAAATAACTAATAACCGAAAAACCTAAGCAGCGTGATCATTCTACTCAAATGTGTACCACCAACCAGAGTACATACAGGTCAACTTGTTAATCATCAGATGCCACAGTGTAACATCTGGCACCTGAGAGTATTATTTCCTCAATTTAAATATACCACGAGCCACTTCAGGTGACTTGCAATTCAACTACAACGTTACAGAATTTAGTTCATCTCAGATCGGCCCAGCCTTGAGTGTGTACCCGGTGCAGTCCTGGGAAGTAAAGGTGGCCTGTTGATTGGTCTATAAAAATATAGGTCTAGCCCTATATGCCTAGAGGCGGAGAAAGGGGTCCTTTACACATGCTAACATGTGATTATACACAACACAGTGAAGTTAATTTTCCAAACTTGCAATGTCTCATTTTTATTTCATATTAAAACTTCTTTCTCGAAGGTTTCAAAAAAAAAAAAAAATGATGAGAGTTGCACTGTGTCCACTTCATCCTTAGCAGCAGGTAGAGTCATCTCCACATTAAAGGTTGATTGTAATGTCTCCACAACTCTTTGTCTTTATAAAGATTCCATCACATATTCATCAAATGCAACTGCCTGTTTTACCAGTGCAGCAGCAATGTCAGAATCGTGTCTTTCCGTTTAAGCTCAGGAGCGAGGTCAGGAATGATGGCAGATTCAAGAAATCTGAGCTTTCTATTGTTTCTGACTTGTTTGTTAAAATTTACAATGGGAAAACATTGCTTTGATTTAAAGAGTAATGAATGCGTTTCTCACAAAACAATAAAACCAAACTAAGGCAGCAATGTTTACACCTTTTACAAACCAACAAAACTAAACTAAGACAGTCTTCTATGTACTATACTCACCTGAATTATCCATCAAATTGTCACTGTTCCCACTAAACAACTTGCTGTCATACGACTGACCTATGCTAAAATTCAACCCAGAGGTCAGTGGACTCAGCTCTGCCATCCCAAGATCTGGGAAAGGGGATGGGGCTTGTAAGGAAGAGGGACTGCCCAGGTTGAGGACATCACTGTAGCTCTGATTGCTGGCAACTGAAGAGTTCATGTTAGCATTACTATCTTGCTGCTGGGCAGACGACACGTTCCCTGTAGTTGATGTGGTGGAACTAGATGACTGGGAGTGTCCACCTCCAGATTTGGAGTGCTCTCGGAAGCTCTGCTGGGCCGCAGACAGGAAGGCCTGCAAATTAGATTACTTTACAATTAATGATCATCATTAAAACCTTTCCCAAAACAATTCTTGACTGGCACCGTTTTTCCAGACAGCATTATTATACTGCGCTATGAGGAGGCATGGGCCTCAAAGCCTATAGCGATGGCGAGTGTGACTTGCAAGACCCGCTCATGTTAAGTTAAGAAGTCCACTACAAAAAAGCTTGGGATTTCAGGACCGTTGTTGTCAACATGTGTGTTTAGTCTGTTTTTTGCTCAAAGGCTCAGCTTTCTTCCTTCAGTCTCATTTCCTTCCCAATGTGCCCCTCCACACAGGTCCATTGCATTTTGTATGCCAAAATAATGACTCCTATACTATAAGCCTGTATCAACTGGTGACTCACAGAAAAGAGGAAGTTAAATGGTATGACTAAATCACTTATTGGGAGCATTGGAAGAGAACTATAAAACATTCTACTGAGTCAAGAGATAAGGAAGATACTGGTACGGAATAAATCAGAAATTAAGAAACCCACCAATAATTTAATGAAAGTATTACTTCAAAGAAACTCACTAGGACATTTTCTTGTTAAATAATAAGAAGCCTAGACTCTTGTAAAAACAGGAAGAAGAGTGGCTGTAGCCAAAAGATAGGACAGCTTAGGGCAAGTTGGTTGATGGTCAACAGTCTTTTGGGGGAACAGGGACATCTGACTAATACGCTTGTTCTCTCTTTCAGTGTCAGACATCCATTGCCTTATGTCATAGGGAGGCAATAATAACAACAAACCCATTGGTGTTCTACATCCACAAGGACCAAATACACAAATCCTTAGAGCAGTGTTTCCCAAACTGGGCGGTACCCGGAGGGCTCTGGGATAGTCTAGCGAGTGGTGGGGGGGGGGGGGGGGGGGGGGGGGGGAGGGAAGACAGTCTAAGGGGTGGTAGCAGCCTCAGGTGTGTTGAAGGGTGCTGAATAAAAATAAGGCAGCTGTGAGAAAGCATGAATTAGAAGACGGAAAAAAAAAAAAGAAAGGAAAATAACATTGATTAACCGTTTCTACCTATTTTAATCCTCTTTCAACATCCTATCCAAGATCTGCTGATGGTGAATCATGACAGCCTATGCTTATCAGCATGGCACATTTGATGAAGATATTTCTAGGGATAGGAGTGCTGGGTGATTTTGTTGGTTCTTTTTGAGTAAAAAAACAAATTAGGGGTTGGGGTGGGAGCAACAACAAAAAAAAAGTTTGGGAATCTATGCCCTAGAAGATGAAAATAAAAAGTCCAATATTATCAGAGATTTTCAGAATCCTTATCTAAACATAAACATATTAAAACTTATATAATATGTTTATCTTTCTGCTGCTTGAGGAATACAAAATATCCAAAACATAATATGTAAGCCAAAATAATAACAAGCGGCATTTTAATACCACACTGTGGTCATCAAGGTTAAACACAGCCTCTGACAAAAACAAATGAAAGAAAAAACTGAGGCGAACAAAATAAGATGCACACAAAAATTTTTTTTTTTACTCTTGGTGTTATCATAAAGGTCAAATGAAAAACTTAAGTTTGAAATATTTAATTCAGTTGTGCGTCCATCTTAAATTCTGCCACCGTTACCTTAAACCTTTTCACATAATAATTATATATTTGACAGCAAGCATGCTAATTATATACGGCAGCAAACACAATAACATCAACAGTGAGTAACATGTGATAAATTGGTTAATGTATGAACAACACAGCTCAAATAACACTGAGTGAAAATGAAGAAATAGTCGAACTGCTACATCCAATGAACAGTGAATAATAAAGAACATATACTAACAGCTAACAGCTTTTGAATGTTGAATTAAGAATCCACATCATAGCACTCAGGACACTCTCATAAGCGTTTCATCCTTATCTTCAGCATCAAGCAGAGAGTTCCAATTTCTATGGCACTATAACTGGATTGTACATCCATCTGGCCTTTTCCTTGAGTGTTAAGCATCGGCCAGATCCCCTGGTAACTTCCCGCAGCGCCATTCTTCTCAGACCGTAATGATCTATTTGTACCTCCACAAATAGAGAGGGCCCTCACAACATTTAGCTTGTCATACACCAATTCACTACCAGGTGGTGCACAACCGGCCAGTCTATCTGCCTGCTCATTTCCCAACACACCAGTATGACTTGGAAAAAATATTCAAAGGATGCTAACTACCCAGGACATCTGAAGCGATGCTTGCCATTCTGCATGCAGCATGCCTGTCTCCACCTTTCTCAGCATGCTCTGTGAGTCAGTTACAGTTATGACGTGTATGTACAGCTGATTCTCAAGCCAGGCAGAAGGCAGCAGTGACTGTCTCCACCTCCATTCTCAAACTAGACGACCTGATATCATATGCCAGGCTTTGTTGCACTAAGTGATGTCCATTCAGTTTTGCTATGAACCCCCATGCACTTTGTCTACCTCTCAACACAGAGTTATATGTATAGATAATCACATCACTTGGGCGGTAATTGTCATGAACCATTTGTTGAACTTCTGATTCTGCAGCACCATATGGCCAGTCCCTGCACTCTAGACCTACAGTGATTAGAACTCTACAAAAGTCGGATTCTTGCTCAGATACTTTGACACAGTCCTCTCCTCATCCCAGATCTTTCAAGCCTGCACATATGTCTAACTGTGTCTTCAGCCTGCACCATGCAAGACCTTCCTCTTTTTGGTCTGTGACCATTAACTCTACCTATGGCTTCATGCAGGAGGTGCTTCTTGTCTGCAGCTACTCTGAGATATGACTTTGCTTGCAGAACTTGGAGCCTATCTGCAAAAGTAGGCAGTGCAAGTATATATATCATATATCACACACATACTACCGGGGTATCTCTTGTACATCCTAGAACTGCCCGCATGGTTTAATTCTGAATGCGTTCAAGTTTCCTCAGCTGACTCTCTGATATGGTAAGCATTCCATCATGTTAGCTCCAGCAAGGCCTTTCTTGTTATGGTATATTCAGGTTTTCTCATCATGTTTCCTAGCAAGCTTTCCTGGCAAGCAGACCAACAGATAAGCAATGCCCCTGCATTTTTAATCCCTGCGTCTTTTTTAGGATGAAATTTTTCCTTATTTGAAGCCCCACCCTGGCTTTTGCCAGGGGCGCAATATAGGCAGGCTATAAATATGGCCAATTGTCTGAACGCAGTTTCTGGGACCTCTCCACGGTTATCCGTGTTTATCGCTTGTGTGATGTCCTGGTGGGGTAGAAAGTCAGTCAGTCAGTCAATGCCCCTGCACCTGAAGAACAATGGACACAGCAGACATATCCAACAATATACTGACTGGGCTAGTGGTTGACAAATCTCCGACACAAACATGATAACATGACCTGAGAGTAATGCATAGTCAAGCACATCTATGTCGCCTATAAGGCCAAGATAGGAGACATTAAAACCAACTACTTCCTCATGGGGACCATCAGTAGAGGTACCTTGGAGTGGCTGCTGCATCGGAGGAGTCAGCACGCATTGAAAGTCCCAATGTATAGTGACGTTGATCGTAAAACATAACATTTCTGGACTTATTGATCCCTTGAAAAATGTTTAGTTATCTGCCAAAGCTTGCACTGGTGATTCTGCTTTGCCATTTAATTATCTCTTCTGTTCAGTCATTAGTCAATGAATGTTTGTAGTTCATTAGCAATTATTTTAGTCTTCAACATGTTTCTGATCCAGACAGCAGTATTGATTTGACAAAAGAGTTTATTATTACAAATTCAGTTCTAATTTTAATTTTTTTCTGACCCAGACAGGTGTCTTAGTGCTGTGAAAGTTTCTCTTGCATTTTGTTTTAATAACTGTTCACTATTTACCCATTTTTGCCTCCCCTGGTGTATTAGATATAAGGTGTAAAACTCCACAACCTTGAGTGGGATTTCATTAAAAACATCAATAGTATCTACAGGCTTACCTGCATCAACTCAGCTTTAAAGGTTCCGTTAGCTTGAAGCAGTTTCTGTAACTCAGCCATCCTCAGGCGATATAGCTCCTGGGGGGAGGGGTATGGGGCAATGGGAAGGTTGGTGGTGTGGGTTCGACTTGACTCTCCGCTGACTTCTTTGAGGCGTTTTGGGCGGCGACCAAGTCGTGATGCTAGTTAGAGTGGACAAAAAAGGAAAATCAAACCACATGAAATATGTAAATACTGCACAGAAAGAAAACTACACATTTTAATTATTCTACATGTTAAATGTTAAATATCTCACATTTCTGTTCACAAATCATTTTAAGAAACTGCTGGCAGAATAAGGATATATTAGGAGGCTTCTTTCATACTTACAGCTTCAAAAATCAATAACAGTGTGAATGTCTAGGAAGCCAGGGTGGTGTAGTACAGGGCTGTTCAAGGGCTATTCAACTAGTCGCCAGATTTGGCCCCCAAGGCCAGGCAAGTGGCCCACTGGCTGCATTGTATTCATGATATTTCTATACTGGGTCTGGGCCTCTGAGGATCCCCATTTTTTTTTAAATGTTTGCCCCTTAGTAAATTGAGTTAATAGCCCTTGTGCAGTAGCTAGATAACTTCCTGCAAGACTTTAGGTCTTGGGTTCAAATGGAAGCCGATTATTTTAATTAACCTAGAGCTCCCAGGTTGACCCAGCCCAAAATGAGTGCCAAGAAATGTACTGGGAAGTAAAAAGTGACTGGTATGATGTTAACCTCATCGACTTCAAGTGCCAACTGCTCTATAAAATATTAGTCTAGCACTCAAATCACAAAAACAGGGATGACTGCAGTCAAGCTAGTATCAAGAAACATATCCACTGAACTGTGATTGAGAAGCATAATAAAGTGGGGGAAGCTGGGAGTGGGTGCATACACAAGAACAATTTAAACGTTTCAGCAGTAGGGCATTAGTATATTACAAATTACTGTTAGTTTATTATTAATTATAATTATAATTGTTGTTCCTAAATCTTTTTCCGTTTCCTACATTTGATAGTTTATTTACGTCATTCCCCTGTGTGGGGACTGGTGTCCACGATTATCTCCCCTCTTTCTTGCGCTGCCTGCTGATAAATGAACACAGGCAAATCATACATTTTGGCATTACTTCTATTCATCCTAATTTATTATTATTACTATTTTCGCCCCTTAATTTATTTTTTCATCCCTCATAATCATTTCCGCTTTCTACATTTTATAGTTTATTCGCGTGACTCCCCTATGTGGGGGACTGGTGTCTAGGTTTGTCCCCCCCCCCCTCTTCCGATTTGATGTTTGGCTCCAGTTAAAATGTCTGACTGTTCCTGTACTCTCCCCCACACCATTTTTTTGGTTATTGTCATAAATCTTTGTATCAGGTTATCACCATTATGCCAACCACCGTAACTTCCTCCCAAGTCATTTTCTGGGACCCTTCTAGCCTAGGTCTACTTAGGAGGCATCAGGTAAATTATCAAAATCTACCTATAAGTAGATTCGAACCCAAGGCCTGCAGGCAATGTCTAGCCACTGAACTACTGTGGCTCCCGACAAAGGTCATCATCATCAAATACCACTTTTGCCATTAGGCATCCTGGGAGTCACAGTCTGTGATCCACTGCATGAAGGGTAGCAATGGCTACTGTCATTCTAAGTCAATGCAGAAGGTCTTTAATAGCATCAATCCATGTTCAACTACTGCATCCCCTTGATTTCACTTCATATCTTTTCATGTGTAGTGCCTGAGTTGGTAACAGTTCTGGTTGCATTCTAACGAGATGACCTAACCATCTGAATTCTGTTTCTCAATGAACTTGCTGCATGGTCTTGCTTCCATTGTATTGCTACATTTCTCACTTTGTTTCAGACGGTTAAGTTGGCGGCTCTCCACAAGCACCTCATTTCACAGCTGTTAATTTTATGTAGGTTGGCCTCTGACAATGTCCAAGTTTGTTACTGGTAGTACAATACTGGTATGAATGTGCTGTTTAAAATCTGTTTCTTAGCCGTCATACTTATATTTGGAAGTCTTAATAACGACATCAGTCGGTATATAAACGCACTGGCTCATTGGCATCTTGTTTCTAGTTCCTGATATAATCTGCCATACTCCGAGAATATACTTCTCAGTTTTTTAATTCTGTAACTTAGTTCAATATTATCATTTAACCCTATTTGTATCAAACATATCATTCTTTATATATAAATATTTATATATATATTCTTCATCAGCATTTGAGCCCCTGAGGTTAACTGCTGCAGATATCTCCCACCTCCATTTATCTCTCTGGCTGGTCTTCTTTTTTCATTTGGTGACACCACGTGTTTGCAGGTCTGTCTGAATATTATCTCCCCATCATTTTTTTGGGTCTACCTTGTGTTCTATAACCATTCAGCTCCCTTGTGTATAGTTTTATCTGTCATCTGACATTCTCTCAATATGCCCCAGCCATTTCAGTTTATTAGCCCTCATGATGCTAGATTAATGGTGATTTAAACAAATCATGGAGTTGCTTCTCACTCTCTGAACTGAAAGCTGTAAACGAGGGCATCAACACACAGCATATACGGTTTTTAAAATCACAATAGGAATTATAAATAATACTGAGGAAATATATAACAGATGGAAGGAATACTTTGCTGAATTGTTAAACTGTGAAACTCCACTAAATACCTATCCACAGAAAGAGATACTAACATGTGAACCAAACACTGAAGAGCCTGATTGTGAAGGTGTACTGTATGTAATAGCACAGCTTAAAAACAACAAAGCCTACTGGTGCTGATGGGATTGCTAATGAACTTATAAAAGAAGGTGGTCATGCATTACATTTAAAGATATATGAATAAATAAAAACTAACTTGGAAGATGGAGAAATTACCCTGTGAAATTATTATCACCCATTTTTTAACAAACGAGTTAATTATAAATGTGAAAAATATAGAGGAATATCACTATTATCTACTTTAAGATACTATTGACCGTATGGCTCAACAGGCTAAAACCATACGTCGAAGATACATTTGGTTATTACCAAAGAGGTTTCCAACAGAATTAACAATAGATCAGAAAGTCATTTCACAGCAAACAGCAGAGCAAAATTGGAAATAAATAGATATAATATATAATACTATAAATATTCTACATGCCTTGCTTGTCTAGCTCCAAGTGGATAATATCTATTTTCTAATCTACAACTGACACTAAATGCAGGAATGAGGGGAAACCCGAGCTTGTGTTTCCAAGGCTAGATGTGTTGACTTGGTGTGTTCATTTTTGGTTATTAATGTTGTCCCCCATCATTTTCTTGATCTTTTGTCTCTGTATTCATATCCTACTTGGTTGTCAAATCTCCTGTCTACGGCTGATTGAGGTTTGAGCGTCATAAAATATTCAGACCACTTAGTCTAATGTCTCTCATTACAACTCTCTGCATAATTTATACTGTCATTTCCCATTCTGCCTCTTCTGTGGGTAGTTTCTGGGTCCCGGGTAGTGTTCTATATGTCAAGTAAATGAGTAAAGAACACCTTTCACACCAGTAGTGTAATGGGTATATATCTGTGTAGACCAATGGTCATTTGATAAATGATGTGATCAATATTATGCCAGCCACCTTTACTTCCCAAAAACCTTACATGGTACTGATGTATGTGGTTGGGTGGCACACTGGCCAAGTTCAAAAAGTTGTTTTTTTTTAAAGTCAATTTTTGGCTGGGTCAAGCTGGAAGCCAACATCTTTTTTTTTTTTTTTTTTGAATCCAACTCAGGGTAGGTTTAAATCTGTAGTGGTCAATCTGTGTTCCTCTTTACAACTCAGAACTTTCAATGAAATTTTTTAACTCTTAGATACAGTGTATTATTTGAAGTGTCTCTTTTTCTTCTTCTTTGCGTTCACTGGCTTTAAACTCCAGGCAAAAAGTTCTGGTTGTTTTACCACATCTGGACTTTCGTCTTTCCCAGAACTAGAGTTTTTTTTTATACTTCAGTTTTAAAAATCTGGCTTATTTATAAACAGAATCTCGGTTCCTTGGCTTTCAGACAGATACACTCCGACTTTGAAGGAATCATACCTAATTAGTCATTTTTTACAACATGCCTGTTAAAGATGCAGAGGGTCCCCACCTCCCCCTCAACAAATGGGAGCCGGAACCCAAACAGGGACCTGAAGTGATTCAAACCATGTCCAATTTACCACACTAATATTATTACAGCTTCAGTAATCAAGACACTTCAGTAAAATATACAGTAGGCCTCTATTCTATTATTTTTTTTTATAATTCATGAGTTGACATGTGGGGTTTTTTCTTCTGCAGTCAAATCGGCCATGCTAAACACGGAGTCTTGTCTGGGTCACACACAGTATTGTGCATCTAGGGCAGGCATGGATCTTCAACAGCTTGGGGTAAAATCATCATCATAAACTACTAAACCACTTCTGCCATTAAGCTTCATGGGGAGATCAATTTGCGATCCAGTACTCCCTGGTTTTTGTCAAGTGTCTTAAATGTCGATCCATTTCTGTCATGGTCATCCTCTTGATCTTGTAGCTGATCTTCTGAGATATAGTGCCTATGATGGTACCTGATGTTGCAAATAAAAGTAAGTAAAGGTCCCTTTTTCGCGCCTTTAGGCGTATAGGGCATATAGGGCTAGACCTATATTTTGTATAGACCAATCGGCACAAGATGGGTGATGGCATCACGCCGGTCGCCTTTACTTTCCAGGACTGCTCCCGGTACCCACTCAAGGCTGGGTCGACTTGGGAGTCAAGGTCAATTTTGAAAAAAGTCAGGCTTTGCCAGGCAGTGAACCCATGACCTTCTGATTCGCACGCGAGCGTCTAGCCGCTGCGCCATGGGGACTCTCTGATGTTGCATATGCTGTTTACAATCTGTTTCTATTAACTCTGTTGTTAAACTTTGTTTTTCTGTAAGTCCGTCTGAAGCAGTAAGCTTCAATTTTTAATTACCAATCATTACGTAGAAATTACTTCCAAAAAATGAGCATGAAAGCAGTGGTTTTTGTGAAAGTACACTACAAGTTAACCCTTTCAGACCCAAGCAACGTGTTTCATAAAAATACTGTGGATGCAGTACACCCATGCTTTTCTTGTCATCACTTTGCTTCAGTCAGATATCAGCTATGACATTCTGGGACTGGATGAGTCACACCCCTCCCCCAATTCTCTCCCTTTTTCACTGCCTTAGAGAGAGATGACTGCGGACAATGAAAACAGAAATATCCCATCCAATAGCAAGAGATTACAGTCAGGAAAGATAAAGACACAAAGGGATTACACAAGGGGGTAGGGGAGAAGAGATATAGAGAGAGTGCGCGTGCATGCATGTGTGTGTATGTGTGTGGGGGAGGGGGTGGTGGGTGACATTTAAAAAAAATCCGAAGCTAAACCTCATGTAAGCCAGATATAATCATTATCACACTACAAAGTTACTGACCTTCTCTGGACATTCCAACCTCGAAGCATTTCTTTAACCGGCAGTATTGACAACTGTTTCTGGTGAATGGTGTTATCTCACATTTCTCCTCATTGGCACATTTGTGTGTCATACCTTGGGTTATACATCTTCTGAAAAATCCCTGTCAAAAGAAAGTTTTAAGTCATTAAGAAGGTTCACATGTCTGGTCTAGTAGATTTGTCTCCTACCGAGAAGGCAGTCCGGATAAAAATGGATATGCAAGATAAGATGCCTTCTTCTTCTTGTGAATTCCGGCGGAAAGTTTTGGTTGTTCGTCAATTTAGACTTTTGGCTTTCACCTGGACCAGAGTTTTACGTGTACATCCATTTTATTGGCTTATTTGTGTGCAGTTCTTGTTCCCTGCCTCACCGGCAGATGTACTCCGACTTCAAGGGAAGAAGTCAAGCCTATCTCTAGGATGACTGTGGCCATTGTTTTGTGAGACGAGATGTTGTGTGGTGTCCTCTTTGTCCATTTATCTACAGGTGTTGCCCCCGGAGAACACCCCTTAGAGCAAACCTCGTGAAACATCGTGATGTACCTCAGTGCGGTGAGGACAATGCTGAGTGTTGATAGAGGATGTACGTAGTTAGGATTTGACTGCGATAAACCACGTTCAGGAGATGTTACTCATCTAGGCTGTGGTAAATCTCTTGGTCAAGGGTTGAGTCTCAGCAGCACAGTTTTCCATTCACTCCACAGACTTTAGAGTTGTCATTTAGAGGTACATTTGGCAAGCAGACTTTACTCATGTTCCAAATGAGTTTTGATAGTTTTCACCTATGCGTTTAGGGGCAGTTGATGAGAGCCAGAAAGGACACTACACCTCTGGGGGCCGCCGACGGGGACGTGCAGCGGGAGTCTTGCATGAGATTTCGTAAAACCAGAACAGTGAAGGGCTGGTGCCTGAGTGAGGTACACAGTGTCTCCTTATACATCTAACATCAACTTAACTTTCTAACACACCTGTAACATAAATTACCACGCCACTGATGCATTCAATATTTCAAGTGAAACATATAATCGGTTTAGGGTCTGGGGACCCAGTCTGGGGGAAAACAAGAGCAAACCCACTGCCCTGCTAACAAGCATGTCATAAAAGGTGACTAATTAGGGGTGTTTCCTTCGAAGAAAGAATACATCTGCCTGAGAGGTGAGAAACTAACAGTCTGCATACGAATAGGCCAGATCTGTAAAACGGATGTCTATGCAAAGCTCAAGTTCTGGAAAAAGACCAAAATCCAGAAGAAGAAAAAAAAAAGAACATTCTGCCAGAGTTTACAGCTGATAAAAGCTCAACACAAGAAAAATTGAAATAGTTTTTTTTTTTTTTTTTTTCAGTGAAAGACCTGATTTTACACTTTGAAGAAGAAGAAGCATTAATACTTATGTACTGGCATTTTGCCTTTTTGAAAATCCAATGAATTGCTTTGACAAACAAAATTCAATCATTTTTGTATCAATATAGAAATCAAACACAAAAACACACACCATACCAAAAATGCTGACATTTCAATTAAAAATATTCACTTCTACTTCAAAACACTGCCAAGAGCTAAACAGAACTTTTCAGTAATTTAGTCATCCAGTAATGTGCTGAAGATACATAGTGTTAGCCAAAATGTTTCAAACAGAGCATCAGCACAACCTATAGTTCTCTGAAATCAATGTATTTTTAATATACCAATTAGCACTTGAATGAATGGTGATGTGATCAAATATCTTGCCTGTCTTTATTTCCTAGAACAATAATTGGCTGCTATTTTTATGCTAGACAGACCTAGGAATCAGGTTAGTTATAAAAGTAAAAATTAAACCTCAATGAGGATACAAACACATAACCACTGGAGATACAGGCAAGAGTGCTAGTCAGTGTTTTACTGCAGGTCCTGATTATTATATTAACTAAAAAGACAACATGTGCATAAAATGACTGCATAGGCCGTAAGCTCAGGTTACTGACTGCAAAGGTTTTTAACACCTCTCTCAATGTATACTGCTCAAACATCTGTGTGTCAATATGGCAACCAAAAGATAACTGCTCAAGAGTAAACTCATATGAGATCTTTGTTTCCAATGTCAGACCTCGTCACTAACTAGGATACAGGACACAGAGATCACATGTGAGATAAAATGCCTGAGAAAAGAAATCAATGTTGCCAGAATAAATGTATGAATGAATCAAGACTGAAATCACTGCACTCCAGACATTCCCACACTGTGCTCCGCCTCCTTTTTCAGTAGCCAGCAAAGAGTTTACCTGCTAATAGTACTAGTTGCAATCTGCCTAACTCTGCTTATGCTTTCCCCCTCAGCATTGAATATCATTTCAGCGAAATATGCCGGGCAATAAATTGTGCGATGTATTGTTTGTGTCCGCATTATTTAAATATCATCAGAATGCCTGCGCTGGGAAAGTGTGAACTGACCGCATCTACGAAGTAAGCAAATGTATGCTCAAGCGCCGACCTTGTTTCCAGGGAAAACCTGACCATGTTGATTGTCTGACATATTGAAATGGCTGCAAGTGGGAGTGTTTTTGAATGCAACTTTATGAGATTTGAAGTGCTAGTGGTTGGAAGTGTAACTGAATACTCTTGTGGATCCTTCTCTTCTAGCGTAATTGTTATCCTAGACATCAAACCTCTGGCCCAGTGACCGAAGAACATTGTTGGAGAAATAAACACAGTAGTTATCAGCTGTTCAGTGGTTCTAAACAGCTGTTCATATTTCAAGCTTGCTGAGTCATCTGTCAATGTTCCGGAGCAGGCTGCATGACCAGATCTCAAGAGCATCACTGCACTACTATGCCAAAATAACACTATTTCTTTCTACAATATAATTTACATTCAGTACAATACGTTCTATCTAGGCAAATTGCTTTCCCCTAACAATTTTCATGGGCACTGACTATACTCTCTGTGATTTCCAACTCCTGTGAAGTTTGTCTAGGTGCAATTAGCACATGAGACACATGAAACTTTATTTATTTATCACCATGAAAAGATTCAGTATTTGATCTACTACCTGGATGTTTAGGTGACGTGCCCTATCTGACAGCAAACTCTATATATCTCGGAGCCAGAGGTAGGCACTTAGCTTTTTCAGCCATGTCACCTTCTACAGTACAAAAAAACTGATACACTATATAAATGTTTCTGTTACACTGATTCAACTATGTGGTTCTGAAGAAGAAAAAAGTCACCCAGCATTTGCTATAAGATAAACAAAAGTATTCCTTAAATTTTAAAATAAATAATACTCGAATTATTCTTAGAGTGTCGGTCTGCTTGCTTTCAGTTTTCATCCAAATTTATTCTGTGCATATTTGTTTCTTCTGAACGAAAAATTTCAACATTGCAAACATAAGGAAGAAATAATCGATACCATTTAGAAAGAGAGACATTTCAAAATGTCAAAACTATCCCAACTGTTTACAATGAAAACAAGACAAAGAATCAATACCAGTGTAATTTGTTCAACAGGTACTGAACTGCTTGAAAGCATTTCTACCACCAATGAAAACAATATGAATCAGGAAGATCAAAACTGTTAGAAATAACTAGGGCTGTACCGAATATTCGCTTCAGATTCGCTTCGGGGCCGAATAGTGGACCTATTCACTATTCGCTTTTTGGCCGAATAGTTGCGGTCGGGCCAAATACAAATAGTAGTTACCTTACACCCGCCTCTGCATACACTGCCTTAATACTGACAACATGGGACGATTAGTTTTGTTGAAAGCTAATGCAGCTTTCACGCTGTCAGTGACAATTTCCAAGTTTAGTTACTTGTAATAATCCTTAGGATTTTTTAATTCCTAGTTAATAGTCACCACAGACTGACTGAAGGATGCAAAACATAACTGTTTTTAAATGTTTACTATTCTGTACGAATACTAACTAGACATGGAAAGAATATAAACTCCAGCCACATCCAAGTCGATAATATGAAAATCAAACGAACAGAAACATAAGTACTTGGGTGCAAACTTCAACTGCTCTAACATGCTGAGAGAAGAAATACAATCTAGAAATAAAGTATACTATGCCCTTAAACATCTGCTAAAGTCAAAGTGTCTGTCTCGCAACACCAAGATCAAAATATATAAAACGTTGAAAAGACCGGTCGTTTTTTATTGGCTCTGAAACTTGAAGCAGGGAAAAAAAAGAGATGAGGCCTTATTACAAATCTTTGGACCCATCAAAGACGCAAACAGCGGGTAATGGAGAGTGAGAAGCAACAACGTAACACATAATCTGTTTAAATCACCATTGATCACTGGCATCATGAGAGCTAACAGACTAAAATGGTTGGGGCATACTGAAAGAATGTCAGATGACAGAAGTAAAACTGTATACACCTGAGAGAGGAATGGGCGCAGACCATGAGGCAGACAAAAAAGAAGTTCGAGAGATAATGTCCAGCCAGACTTGCAAACAACTGGTGTCACAAATTGTGAAGATAAGGCCAGCCAGAGAGATGAATGGAAACGAGTGATATCTGCAGCAGTAAAGGTCAAGGGCTCAGAATGTGCTATAGAAGAAGATGACTACTCTGTGCTACTTTATGTGAAGTACAAGTTCAGCTTACATTTGACATTATAAATGTGCTGCTGTTGTTTTTTATTTTTTTTTAGATATATTTTATTCACTAAACACTATTCATATTCGGCCGAATAGTTGGTCCCGTTATTCGTATTCGGCCGAATAGTGAAAATCACTATTCTGTACAGCCCTAGAAATAACCAATGAGAGACAGTAACAGTATTCTTCCTACAGTCCCTGCTGTGTGACATTGGTAAGAAATAACCAATGAGAGACAGTAACAGTATTCTTCCTACAGTCCCTGCTGTGTGACACTGGTAAGAAATAACCAATGAGAGACAGTAACAGTATTCTTCCTGCAGTCCCTGCTGTGTGACATTGGTAAGAAATAACCAATGAGAGACAGTAACAGTATTCTTCCTACAGTCCCTGCTGTGTGACATTGGTAAGAAATAACCAATGAGAGACAGTAACAGTATTCTTCCTACAGTCCCTGCTGTGTGACATTGGTAAGAAATAACCAATGAGAGACAGTAACAGTATTCTTCCTACAGTCCCTGCTGTGTGACATTG